TCTCTCCGCCAGGTGTAATTGCTGACTCCTAACCTGGCACAGCTTCCCAGCACAGCTGGCCCTTTTTTGTTCTGTAAAGCTCAAGGGCTAAGCCCTAGCCGGCGTTGCCATTTGTTCGGTAATTTAATTATTTTTCTGATTTTAGTAGGCGCTGTGCGCTTCTCCGCCGGCGTAATTCTGGACTCCGGCCACCTCCGCCGCCAGCCTTGCTGTCACGCGTTCGAATAATTCGTTGTTTGATGCCCCGTCTTCTTCCTTTGCAGTGGAGGTATATCTCTCGTAGTTCTCTTTTTTTTTTTTTTGTGTTTTCTCTTTTCTATTGTTTTTTTCTTATTATTTCTGTAATAGTGTTGGACATAAAGGTTACAGGAGGTGCTGCCTACTTCAGCACTTGCAGAAGGTATACATTATTGGTTATTTCCTTTGCTTTTCTACTGTTATTTTCATAAATCACATTTGTTGGGGTAAACAGCAGATGCTCCACTTTCACTCAGTATTTTTTTTGATTTTTATTTTTATATAATCTCATTAAATAGCTTGCGGAGTGAATAGGTGCTTCAACCAAGGAAGTGAAGTCTGCTCTTGTATCCTGCAAATGGGATATTTGCGAATTTCCTTTCTTTTCCATTTTTTCTGCATTGAGGTTGTGTATGCATGCTTATAAAATAAGCACAGCTTCTGTTGGATTACTGTGGAGGCTGCACATAAGGACCTGAGAGAAAGAGTGGTTGTTCTTGCATCAAAGATCTCTTGTTGAACTGTTCCTGAGGGTTTGCTTTCGTGGTATTGATTTTATTTTCTTCCTCCTTTGTCTTCGTCATATGTTCTCCATCAAATTTAATTTCCTGTACTTCTTTTTAGCTTTTCATTGTTTTTCCTAATTTAGTCAGTACTGGCCCTGTGTGCTCTAATACTTCCATGGTGTAATTTGATATTGCCAATTTTTCTTCATTCTTTTACTGTTTGGAAGATGGGTTCGCCATTTTTCATTTATTTTTTCAGGCGCTATAGTTTATTCACTATGATTTGGGGTGATATCGCAGTCAAAAAGGATGACGCCCCTATGGTGCTGGGTTGACCAGAGGGCAGCATCTTACTGGGAAGGATTTTAGTGGCAAAACTTTAATCAAGCAAGATTTCAAGACGGTATTGCATTTTTCGTTTTATATTTTTCCTCAATCATTTGTTTATTTGTCTGTGTGGTTTATGATTATTTATGCTCTGAGGAATGTTTTTGTCAATACTTGGTTATTCAGGTTAGACTGTTTTCAGATTATCCCAATTGTGGTTCAATGTGACTTTGGATATTGTTTCCATGGTAGATGCAAGTCCCATATGATATATATATTTTCTTAAAGATAAAATATAAATTCTGTTATATATAATAGAAATAGGAAAGTACGTATATATATAATATGAGAGGGATAATTTTGAAGGAGTGATTCGGCAAAAACAACTGTGTGTTAATTATTTCATATCGCTACTCCATGTGATATTTCTTATTAATAGTGGCAAAAAAATACATATATGATGCATTTTTTAGCATTCAGATACTCTCTCTCTCTCTCTCTCTCTCTCTCTCTCTCTCTCTCTCTCTCTCTCTCTCTCTCTCTCTCTCGCTCTCTCTCGCAGCTCGCATCTCTCG